AGGTCTGACAAAGTGTCACCCTAAGGGTGGACAGAACTCACCACTTTTCCTGTTAATGCTGGTTCTGGTGGGGGAGTCTGCTGGTCAGAGGACTGTGGCTGCCGCAAAGTCTAAAGACTTACAAAAGGTGCTTACAGAAACATCATGTCCTGCACGGTACATCTCCAAACTAATGCTCTGACCCATAAAAGTTCTGGGCATCTGGCATTGGAATCCTGGAAAATCCTGGACTGTGGGAAAGGGCAGGCAGGAGGCTACGGGTCTGTCTCTGCCTGTGGTGACAAGGATGACTGCGTGCTGTAGGCCCTACACTCCACTGACAGCTCCTTCACCCTGAACTCACACTTGTCACCATCCCCTAGAGGGCTCCAGAGAAGTTTCTTGAAGGCGAGGTCATCCACATGTGCTGTTTTCAGTTGATGGCAGTTGGCGCTACACCCATTCCTGCCAGAGGCCCTCTGCTAACGTGCCAGCTGCTTCTGACACCTGGAGGAGACGGGCCGCCCCTGCTTTGAAGAGGAGCCAACAGGGAGCTGCTGCCAAGAGTCTGTACAGATCCATTGGATCATGGAGGGGTCCTTGCAGGCCAGGCCTCAGGACTAGAGCGGGAGACTCTGGGGAGAAGGAAAGGCACTCGAGTTCAGGCTGGCTCTGAGCAGAACCATGTGAAGGGTGGAGCCCACGGCAGGCGACTGGAATGAAGACAGAACGCTTGGCAGGGTCTGAGCGAATCCTGAGGGGGCTGGCCCTTCTCCCTCCCCTGCTGACTTCCAACAGCTGGGATGGGCTGCGAGTTAAGTGGGTGCCAAGGAAGCAACAGCTTTCAGCCTGAACCTACTGACTTGCCAACTTCCTGTTGACCCTTAAGGGTCAGTATCCCTGGTCTAGTGGCACGAGCTGTACCCATTTTTGGTTTTTTTCCATTTCTGGGTAAGCAACCCTGGGATCAAATCCCAGCTCCAGAACTCACTGGCCAAGTGACCTTGTCTTGGGCAAGTTATGTTTCCTCTCTGAGCTTCGGTTTCCTCATCTGTAAAGAAGTGACAGTAATAGTTCCTACCTCACAGGATTCTTGTGAAGATTCAGTATGGTCATTTACTGTGCCAGTATGTAATAATCACTCAAAAGAAGTGTCAGCTGCTATCAATAAGTGTATTCTAGCTGGTTGAAGGTGATGGAAGAGCTCAGAATAGCAGATAAAAATATAGCTCAAAGGAAGTGAGTGCTGCCAGCACCCCGGCGGGCCAGGCTCTCAGGCGGAAGCCAGCTATCTTGTGTCAGGTCTGCTGTCAGGGGATCCCGGCCCTCAGTCAGGGCCAAGCCGCCCTCCATGACTACACCTCTTTGGGGCGGTCCCATGAGCTGTGACTTTCATGGGTGCAGCTGAAGTGTGTCCCCAAGTCTGTTTGGGCTCCCAGGGCACCTCTGTGGACTCGGTCTTAATGTCAGAGCCGTAAGTGAGGATGAAACTACCCTCTGGCCACTCTCTTCAGCAGGGAGGAAGGAAAGAGGCTGTGGTCAAGGTTTCCTGCCGCACTTCCTTAGGGCTGCCCCTCTTCTGGACTGTGTTGGGGGCACCCGTGTGCTGCACAAGCTGCTCCAAGTCTAGGCCCTCAGAGCAGCGTGGCGTGTCTGGGCCATGGCTCTCCCTGGGTGCCAGCACACGCCTCCAGGGTGCCCCAGACTCCACCTGCCCTGCAGTGCCTAAGGGGCTGGATCCAGAGAGAGTGGGTAACAACCACCACCACCAGTTAGTGTTCATTAAGGGTCTTCTCGGTCTGCACGACACATCTGTCATTGCATTTTCTCCTCATATTAATCCGATGAGGTAAGATCAATGGATATCTTTACTGAGAACACAGAGGTTCAGAAACGTGACCAGGGTTTCAAGCTAGAAGCAAAAGAGCTATAATTCAAACACAGGTCTCTCTGACTCGAATCACGGCTCCTATGACCTACAGCTGCTCCTGGTAAGAAGTGGGCTCTGCGCTCTCTGGTGGCAGCCACACCTTCCTGCTGGGGGCGCTGTCCCTTCTCTCACTCTTGGTGTTTGTAGAGCAACGGCCCCCCGGGAGGGTTGGAAGCTTCTTCCCTGCAGCCTCAGCTCAGCCATTTAAGCCCCCTTATCCTGGTCTCTCCCAAGAAGACTCACAGCAAGGGTGCACTGACCGTGCTCTTCGGACAAAAACCTGAATCCAAATCCATGGCCTGTGAGGCCCTCCTTTCCTCTCCCAGCCCCCAGACTCCTCAAACTCCAGGCCCGCTGGCTCCTCCCAGTCCCCCCGAGGTCCTTGCTGGTCAAAGTAGGGCTTCTTTCCCTGGACTGCCTTTCCTCTCACTGCTCCCTCCCTAAATCCTGTCCACTCTTTTCATTTTAAATATTTAAAGCTTCAGAAAATTACACAGAATAACATGACGAACACCTGTGTACCCACTAGCTAACCATCAAACCTTCTTCACATTTGGCCACCCTTGCTTCAGTTTTTATGAGGTTTATGAAACATTACACATACTGTTCAAACCACCTGGACAGCCCTCCCTCGTCCCAGTCCTCTCCCTTCTCCCAGAGACCACTGGAACTTGAGGGCTTGGTGTTCACTTACTGAAACTTGGGTTTAGCATCCCTCTGCATTTTTTCATATGATTTTAACTCACGCAAATGTCTCTACTCTTAAAACATTACGTAACTTTGCTTGACTTGTTTTCAAACCTGTACATCATTCTGTAACTTGACATTTTGAGATTTATCAGTGTTGATGAGTATCTGTCTCCCTGTATTCATTTTAGCTGCTGTACAGAATTCCACAGTGAAGACAACACACTGTCCTTTCTCCCGCACAGAGACAGGCAGAGTGTTTCATTGGTAGCGATTGCAAACAATGCTGCAGGCGCACCTCTTGAACTTTTTAAGATTTGCCCCAATTGCTTCAAAGTGATTCTACCAATTTACTCACTAGCAGTTTATGAGAGTCCCTACTGTTCCACGTCCTCACCAATACTCGCACTATCTCACTTTAGAAGTTTTGCCAATTTCTCTTCCGGTCCCGGGCGATTCGGGATCTCCCGGCTCTGGTGCAGGCATGGCCAAGTCAAAGAGCCACACCACACACAACCAGTCCTGAAAATGGCACAGAAACGGCATCAAAAAACCCCGATCACAATGATACGAATCTCTTCAGGGGGTGGACCCCAAGTTCCTGAGGAACATGCGCTCTGCCAAGAAGCACAGCAAGGAGGGCCTGAAGAAGACGCAGGCCAACAGCGCCAAGGCCACGAGCGCACGTGCTGAGGCTGTCAAGGCTCTCGGAAAGCCCAAGGAGGCCAAGCCCAAGATCCCACAGGGCGACAGCCGCAGGCTCAGTCGACTTGCCTGCACTGCTCACCCCAAGCTCGGGAAACGTGCTTGTGCCGGCATCTCAAGGGGCTCAGGTTCTGTCGGCCAAAGGCCAAGGATAAGGCTCAGATCAAGGCCGCAGCTGAAGCTCTGGCTCCAGCTCCGGCTCAGGCTCAGTCTCCCAAAGGCGCCTAGGCCCCCACAAAGGCTCCAGGGTAGAGGCTTTCATCTACTGATGTGAGGATATAAGGACTAGTGTGACCCCTGGGCTCATGTCTACCTGTGCTGTTTGTTACAAATAAACCTAGAGGCCGGATCTGTCAAAAAAAAAAAAAAGTTTTTGCCAATTTGATGGGTATAAAGTGGTATCTCAATTTAATTGGCATTTCCCTGATTATTAGTGAGTCTGGCCATGAAAATATCCCTCAATGTTTATCAGTTGTTAGAGTTTTCTATGTATTATCTGTTTGTATCTTTGGGCTATTTTTCTTCCGCTTTTCTTTCTTTTGGTTTGTTTAACTTTTTATTACGGAAAATTCCAAACATTTACAACTGTAGATAAAGAGTACAAAGAATTCCATGTACCCATCATCCAGCTTCAACAATTATTAACTCTCTTTTAAAATTGAAGTATAGTCAGTTTACAATGTTGTGTCAATTTCTGGTGTGCAGCATAATGTTTCAGTCATACATACATTCCTTTTCATATTCTTTTATCATTATAGGTTATTACAAGATATTGAATATCGTTCCCTGTGATATACAGTAGAATCTTATTGTTTATCTATTTTATATATGATAATTAGTATCTGTAAATCTTGAACTCCCAATTTATCCCTTCCCACCTCCTTCCCCCCCGGTAACCATAAGTTTGTTTTCTGTGTCTGTGAGTCTTTTTCTGTTTTCTAAGTAAGTTCATTTGTGTCTTTTTTTCTTTAATTCCACTTATAAGTGATCTCATATGGTATTTTTCTTTCTCTTTCTGGCTTACTTCACTTAGAATGACAATCTACATGTTCATCCATGTTGCTGCAAATGGCATTAGTTTATTCTTTTTTATGGATGAGTAGTAGTCCATTGTATAAATACATCACAACTTCTTTATCGAGTCATCTGTTGATGAACATTTAGGTTGTTTCCATGTCTTGGTTACTATAAATAGTGCTGCTATGAACATTGGAGTGCATTTATCTTTTCGAATTAAGTTTCCTCCATAGGCCCAGGAGTGGGATTGCTGGATCATATGGTAAGTCTATTTTTAGTTTTTTAAGGAATCTCCGTACTGTTTTCCATAATGGCTGCACTAAACTACATTTGCACCAAGAGTATAGGAGGGTTGCCTTTTCTCCACACCCTCTCCAGCATTTATCGTTTGTGGACTTTTGAATGATGGGTATTCTGACTGGTGTGAGGTGATACCTCATTGTACTTTTGATTTACATTTCTCTGATAATTAGTGATATTGAGCATTTTTTTCATGTGCCATTGACCATTTGTATGTCTTAATTGGAGAATTGCTTGTTTAGGTCTTCTGCCCATTTGGATTGAGTTGTTTGGTTTTTTTGTATTTAAGCTGTATGAGCTGTTTATATATTCTGGAAATTAAGCTCTTGTCAGTTGCATCATTTGCCAAGTATTTTCTCGCATTCCATAGGTTGTCTTTTTGTTTTGTTTATGGTTTCCTTTGTTGTGCAAAGCTTATAAGTTTAATTAGGTCCCATTTGTTTATTTTTGCTTTTATTTTATTTTTGTTGTTATCAAGAAAC